AAAATCAAGAATTGCTCGACTGTTTACAGATGGATTGTGTTTAAACTTAGTACATACATTGGACATTATGGGACCTTGATGCACATCTATTTTTCAGATCGGATTTAAAATGGCCGAGTGGTGACCATTTTGTTTTAATGAATGCGGTTCTAGAGCCATATATCTGACATGCTTCGACTGATTTTGTTACAATTGATTATGCATCATAGATATACTGATGTATTCAAAATGGCCGACTGGCGGCCATTTTGTTTTAATTATTGTTGTTCTAAAGTACTCGTTTGATGATCATATACAAGATAACTGAGTCTGAATGTCAAACATTTTAATGTTAAAATATCAGCTGGATTTATATCTCTGACATGTTAACTATAATATTTCTATAAACAAAACTATACCGTACTCTCCCGAGTTTAGGGGTTCCCCCAGTATAAGCCCAGGGATTTTTTTTCGAGCTTCAATAATGGGTTAAATCTTAGGGACGACGTCAAAAGATCGATGTCAGATAAAAATCTTAATTCCTTTTAATTAGTTTTTTTCCAAACCCCCCTTCCTCCCACTGAAACTTAATTGATAAATATTGGTCATGGCGTCAGATTACATTCACCATTAAATACAAATTGATAATCGGACAGTAGTATTGCATAGCAGTTGGTTGTGGGTGGGTGTAACAAGATTTTACAAATGCACCTCATTTGACGCACAGATTTACACTCGAACCAAACCATTTTTCTGTTGTTTTTTTTCCTTTTTCGGTTATTTCTGTCCATGATTGGATATAAAAAAAACGAACTACAAATACTCCAAGATTGTTTTTACTTCATTAAAAAAAATATCGTTTTGTAGGATGGAAACGTTTTGAGGTCACCCCACCCCCCACCCCCCCAAACTAAAGGAAATAAATTTTTTATCCGACATCGATCTTTTGACGTCGTCTCTTAAGACTTAAAGAAGTTATTTATTAAAATAAGCATGATTGGTATGGCAGTTCTCTTTTCGAAGTGTGTGGTGGCTCTAAAAAGGGCCGTTTAGTTTGTGTTTTTACGAGAAAAACTCGCATAATTGTACAGTGTATGCGAACAGCGCAAATGGTTCGCACTCTCTCTGTTCTGTTATTAATCACAATGAAGCCAATGTTGCAATACTGAAGTAGTCCATATCTCTTTGGGTGATTGGAAATAGGTAACTTTGATTTTAATATAAAACACTTCGCAGACTGTGAATGCATAACTGTTGTAAACTAGCCACTTTTTTTTCATCATGCGTCACGGCTATGGCATTTCTATCATGTGAATTATTCTTCTGTCGTTGAAGAAAAAACATCTTGCGAATTTCCAGTCCATTATAGTAAGGCGTGCCAACTATGGGAATTTGCTGAAACACAACTGACAAGTGCACAGAATGCCTGCCTACCCTTTCTTTGTGATTTGTATCAATGAATATACCAAAATTCACCACATTGTGGCACTATAATAGAAAGTTAACTTTATTTATAGGTCTATATAATATATATATATATATATATATAATATTTATAGGTCTATATCATATAGTAAGTAAGTAAAGTAAAATAATTTATTTCCACTCGTACATACAGAGTGGGGGAAATCAAAAGGAACAACATTGCCCTAGGCTGTCAACTTGATTCCCCTGTGAAAATAAAGTACTACAAAACTAATAATAGTGGTAAATAACAAAATCTATATTATAACAGTATGAATCAATTCATTAATTGATTTACGAGTATTGGTTTAACAGTAATGTTTTAAATGCAGCTTTAAATCTCTCAACACTGCGCAGGTCTTTCACTGTGTTCTCAATTTTATTCCAAAGTTGTGAGCCTGAGAATAATATACCTTTCTGACAAAGCGTTTTGCTCAGTTTAGGAAGTTTGAATTTATTTTTATTTCTTGTGTCATATAAATGGCACTGTGAGTGCTTGGTAAATCATGGAAGGCTGGGGGTAGCAAATCATTTACATATTTATACATGAAAGTTCGTATTTGTACATATCAAAGATATTGAGTACTTTCAATTTTTGTAAAGAGTACGTGTATTAGTTTGATATGGACTGTTGCTGATGATACGAAGAGCTTTTTTTTGAACATATATAACCTGTTTAAGTAAACTTTCATGGTGGAACCCCATGCTAAAATTCCGTAGCTCAGATATGGAACGATTAAAGTTGAATATAATGTAAACAAGGTGTGCTCAGGTAGGAACACCAAGGTTTCTTGAACACACAGAGAGAATATAGTCAATGTGTTGCTTCCATGATAGGTTTTCATTTATACGAACACCAAGAAAGTTTGTATCATGAACCCGGTCCAGTGGAGTTGAGTCAAGTTTTACACAAATATTAATATCTGATCTAGTATTTCTTGCAGTACCCATGAACATATAGTTAGTTTTTTTAATGTTTACAGAAAGTTTGTTGGCTTTAAACCACTTGCTAACATGAGCAATCTCCTCCTTTATTACCCTCTCAATCATCCCAATATTTTCATATGAATAAAACAGGCTAGTATCATCAGTATATATTATAAAATATAGCTTTTTAGATGAATGATGAATATCATTACGGTATAGAATAAAAGGTAGAGGGCCCAAAATGGACCCCTGTGGCACCCCACATTTAATTGGCTTGGAAGAAGAATGTATGGAATCCAATCTGATGTAGTGTACAGGCTTTAATTATTTTGGCTATAAACTAATTTTAATTTTATTTTTTATTACTTTTGTTATTAATGCCTTTTTATTTTATTATTTTACTTTGATTTTGATTTTGTGATTTTTTTTTAATTCCGCCCTACATACATCTGTTCCGACGCCTATGTAAGTCCCATTCAAATCTCGCGTAAGTAGCAGCCAATCACAGTCCCCTTTTATACAGGCTGTCGGTTGTTTACGTTTCAGTGTAGCGATACTCTACGGGCAATCTTTCTGTACATTATATTTTGCCCACTTGAATAAACCATTAATAGAAAATTGCTAGTATATTTTTATTTACAAAAGAAATTCCACAGCATTTTACAATTTTTGTCATTACATTGAACATTTTTTTTCACTTCCAACAAATGTGTACACATCCTGATACATCTTTGCCAGCCAAGGTTCGTTTATTCAGTCATCGCTTCAATTTTACACCAAACGCTGAGCATAATTATCTAGAATGGAAGCAAAAAAATGAGTAAATCGTAATAAGAACACTGTAAACAGCTATAGTAAACAATGCAAACTGATTTTAAATTGTATATAACGGTCACCGGCCCACCGGCATCGACGCAGAAAATTGGAGCAAAAAAATATTTCCTGCTCAATTGCGACATGTTCCAAATAAAAAATATTCTATTCCAGTCCAAATCAGCTCAATTACTTTAATAAAGAGTTATTGTATAATGTACAATATGTTGATACAATTTGATGAATATTTACAGCGACGGCTTCAATACCGTAGACGATTTTGGCCCGATCGTCAACAAAACATCACCCGTCTCCAGGGCAAGCGACTGGACACAGGTGTTCGGTCGAACCGGTGGAAACAAAATCGTCACTCCCAGAATTACTATGCAAAATAACGATCTAAACTTGAACCATTCGAGCCACAATATAAACATAAAAAATTACTTTCGTTGCATTTGACAATAATAAACTCACCTAAAAGCTGTGTTTTTCTCGGTCGCTAACGTTGGTACAATCCGCCATTTTATTTGAGTGTGTTTGTCGCCTGACTCTGCCCGTTGACGTCATCGTTTGCACTATCAGATTTTAATCAGATTGGTATGGAATCATAACACACATATTGTTTTCTGTTTCTCAAATTATCTCTGAACCAGTCATTTACAACTCCTCTGAACCCATAATTCCTCAATTTATCCAATAATATATCGTGATTGATAGTGTCAAATGCTTTTGATAGGTCCACAATTGTATAATTGTATAATCCAATTGTATAATCATTAACATTAACACTGATACTGGTCTGTAGAAAAAAGTTGAGTATTATTTTTTGTGTGGATCGGAATAACTTTAGCTATCTTCAAATTATCGGGGACTATACCAGTGGTTAAACAGGCATTAAAAATGGTGGCCAATGGATTAGCAATATTAGTTAATATTTTCTTAATGACATAGGCACTAATACAATCATGACCAGGACTTTTGTTAGCGTCAAGTTTATTGACAATTGAAATAATTTCCATCGTAGAAACTGCAACAAAATACAAATGTATTAGGACTAGGACTATTTCTAAGATATTCATCAGAATTCATGTTATTAATTGTACTAGCAATTTCAGGTCCTACATTAACAAAATAATCGTTAAAAGAATTTGCAATACTGGATGGATTGGTTAATTCAATATTATATAATTATTATAAATAAACTTTTTGGAAGTCTTTGTTTTACGGTTTCTGTTCAATATAGTGTTTTCCAAGTATTTCTCGTGTTATTTTAATTTACCTCTAATAGGTGAATGTAATAATCTTTCTTAGCCTTCCTAATATCATTCTTCAGCTTGTTCCTGTATTATTTATATTTGTTCATGTTGGGTGCCTTTACATATTTAAAGTGTAGCTTATCTTAATGATAAATACATTTTAATAAACTAGCATTGATCCATGGTTAATGTTTAGTTTTGTATTTCGACATTTAGTGTTTGACAAGAGGAAAACAGACATCATAAATAGTTGTAAAAGTATTAATAAATTCATTATACATATCATTTGCATTATACATTGCTAGCAAAATGATCCCAGCCAACTTGCGAAAGCTGGAAATTAAATCTGTCAATTTGTTTCTAGAAAGATGAGGAAATGGTCCTATAAATCAGTAATTAAAATACCACTATTTACACTATCAGGGTTGTTTGTAAAAATGTTATCAAGTATAGTAGCAGTGGTCCTGGTGATTAAAGTTGGTCTGTTGATGACTTGGTGCAAATAGTTTGAATATATTAAATTTATAAAATCTCTTGTCGGCAAATTTGTGTCAGTCTTTAAAAGATCAATATTATAGTCTCCCATCAAATAGCACAGTTTGTTTTCAGTATTACTTAAATCTAAAAGGTTACCAAATTCAGTATTAAAATGATTAATAGCCTGGCCTGGAGGTCTATAAATAATACCAACTATTATGTTTTTCCCATCCTTGTTAATAATCTCAATAAAATGCGATTCATATGTGGTTTTAGTAAGATTACATAAATCACCCTCTGATTATATAATCAAGGGTTTGCTTAATATATAAAGCCACACCACCTTTTGCAGAATCAAACCGATTTTTATATTCAAGGTTGTAACCAGGAAGTTGTATGTGGTTACCAGGTGAGTCTTTCAAATAAGTTTCAGATATGCCCAAAACAGAAAATGTTAGATCCATTTCTGTCAGGTAAGTTTTCAAATCCTCAAAATGGCAATTTAAACTATTTATGTTGAGATGAAAGACTGAGAATACATTTCCAGGTCAAAATGTTGAATTATACGTGTTTTTCGTGTAATATTTACAATTACAATCACCGTCAAACTCAAGAAGATCATTTTCTAGCCTGAGAGGATTAAAACTAAGATAGTCATAATC